CTGTGAAATATTATAGGCTTTGAGTGAAGCTGAGAAAATCACGCAGCGGAATGATGGCTGTGAACTGCAGTCGTCCCGGGATGATGACATAATAACAAAGCAAGTTCTAGTTCATTGGTGAACTGCCATCATTGGATCAGTCCCAGCTGATGACAGACAACGAGTGAGGCCGTGTATGTGTGTGTGTGACGGTGAGAAAGAGGTGATGAATGAGATTTGGGTGAGTGTGTGCGTGTGTCATCCTTGAGGTAGGACTAGATAAGACAGCAGTGCGCGTGTGTGTGCAATGTAGCCAACCTTTACACACTCATTTCATTCCTGCACTTCTAATTCAGTGAAATACAAATGCCAAGGCTGTGGTGACGTGTCAAATCAGAGGTACAATTTGGAGTAATGAGCAGTGCTGAAGCACTCTGTCAGAAAGGCAGCGAGCGAGAAAAGAAGGAGACGGAGGGATGGAGAAAGAAAAAAATGAGTGGAGTGAGTGATGGCGCTCTGTCCTATTTAATATTCTGGAAAGAAAAGCAGGAGTGACAGGGCACAGAGGAGGAGGAGGGGCGTAGGGGCGTGAGGTCGACACTCTGAAAGAGAGCGCAAATCCATTAGTGTTTAATTAATACATCACGTTAGCCATTCGTTATGGACTACATTTCTTTATTGGACATTTCTCATGTTCATTTAGAATGTTTTGTATGGCTGTACCTATCTTGTGGGCGAGAGAGAGAGAGAGAGAGAGGAGAGACATAACAGAGGAGAGAGAGAGAGAGAGAGAGAGAGAGAAGGAGAGAGAGAGAGAGAGAGAGACCAAGGGAAAAATTGAAAGTGCAAGGGAGACCGAGAGGAGGAGAGAAAAGAGGGAGAACATAAGGAAACAGAGCATGATAGAGGGGAAAGGAAAAAGAGAGAGAGATGGAGAGCAAAGGAGGGAAACAACGAAGAATAATGGAGAAAGAGAGAGAGAAAAAACAGAAAACAGAAAAGGAGAGAGTGAGAAAAAATGAGGGAGAGAAAACAGAGAGAACAAGAGAAGGATAAACTAGGGAGAGAGAGAGAGAGAGCGATAGATGGCAAGGGGGTGAGACAAGAGGGAGAAACAGAATGAGAGAGGGGAGGAAGGGAAAGAACGAAAGGGAAGGAAAAAGAAAGGGACAGCAAAGAAGGGAAACAAGGAAAGAGGAAGGAAAAAGGAAAAAACAAAACGAGAAAGGAAAGAGAGAGGAGGAGATAGAATGGGGTAAGAGCAGAGAGAAAAAGGGAAATAAAGGAAGAAAGAAAAGAGTGAGGAGAAAGGGAGAAATCGATGGATTAAGAGAAAATAAAGAGAGTTAGAAGGGGAAAGGAGGGAGACAGGAAGAAGAGAAAGGGGGTCAGAGAAAGAGAGAAGGAGACAAGAGAAAAAGAAAAAGATGGAGAGCTAAGGAGGGGAAGACTGAAGGAGAAAGGAGAAAACAAAGAAAGAGAATGAGAATTACAGAAAGAAGGAGGAGAGACAGGAGGGAGAAAAAAGGAGAGAGAGAGTTGAAAAGGAGATGGAAAAGGAGAGAGAGAGAGAGAGAGAGAGAGAGAGAGAGAGAGAGAGTGTAAATGTAGCCCCGTTGGCATGGCATGAATCAGTACAAAGCTGCCACCCTCTTTTGTGGAATGAGTCAACACCTTTTTTCATTTTTTGTTTTTTTTGTTTGTTTGATCTGTGGTGGGTCTTCTGGACACTGGTGTGTGTGTGTGTGTGTGTGTGTGTGTGTTTAAGGAAAAGTGAAGATGAAAGCATGTGTAGTTTTTAGGGTATTATGGCCCTTGGTTGAGCGAGGCAACGAAAGAGAGAGAGAGAGAGAGAGAGAGATGGGAAACAGAGAGAGCGAGGGAGGAGAAGAAGAAGAGAGAGGAAGACAGCAGGAGCACTTCTCATTTTCCTCTTACTTTGGCCATCTCATAAGTAGGAGTGTGAGGTTTAATTACGAGGCTGCGATGGTCACTAAATCATCAGGATTTAATTTCTCTTCAGCAGATGAAGTTTCCTCCTCTGTCTCATAATGAGAAAGATCTGACTGGAGAGTGAGTGTGAAATCACCGTGCGGCCCCCTCAGTCACTCACTCATCCTGAGTCAGCCACATGCCATCTCAGTGGAAGTCCTTGACTGTAGCTTTCTAATACATCATAAAAGCTCCGTCACACTCGCCCTATTCAACTCTCCCACCTACACTGAGCTGCACTGGCATTGTCCACGCAACTACAACAAAGTTTTTTGTCTGTAAAGAACTTGCACCGCATCTGCTAAACAAAGGCTTCTTTGCTGATGACTTGTGCCTCACTCTAGTTTACTGCAAGATGCTCCGGGGAACAGGACAGAATTCTTGTTTTTTCATTCTTTTATTTTCCGGTCTGGAGAGGAGCTGAAAGGATTTGGCATGGTGCCAACTCTCCTTCATCTCATCTCTTTCTTTTTCCATCTTTCTTAAAGAAATGGTTCAGCACAAAATCTAATTTACACAATTTCCTTTTTTACCCCAGATACAGTCGATCAGCCAAGCCATGTTTTGTGTCCAAATTTTGCTTTAGTTTAGTGCTGAGGCTATGAGGCTAACGTTGCTAACAAATGCTAGAAGTCAATAGTCACCCAGTGTGCAAATACATCTCCAGAACTGCCCTCAGGCCGCTCAAACCACATCCAGGTCTTCTACAACTCAAGGCCCACCTATATATCACTAGCAAGCATAAAGGCCAAAAGGAAAAGACAAACAATTGACTTTTTGGCTTAAATATATATATATTTTTGGAAATTTTGTTTGTATTGTGTTTCTAGAAGCAAGGAGCAATCAATTGACGATGCTGCCTTTTTGTGCTGTTGTTGCAAGACCTGTATTCATATTGTTTACCATTTGAAAGTATTTTATATTTCTTTTTAAAATTAGCTTAAGTCGTTCTTTTTTTAAGTTGATTAGTTTTTCCAGTGATTTTCATTACAAAGTGCCATCACCTGCCCACTACAGACCACTGGCCTTACCTCAGTATTGGCCTGAGGGCTATCAAAAGGCCCACTTGTGATCTGCAGCCTAGTGGTTGAGAAACCCTGGTTTAGGGCACAGTATGACTTACTGTATGACCTTAGCTGATGGTCCAAAATCTGACTCCCCCACAGAATCCCTCTCATGTGCTTGTCATGAACACTACAGGTTATGTTTGGTTTCTGTTGTTTCTATTTATGAATAACAGAATAAATAAGAAAAGAAGTTTAGGGGTGTATTTACACAAAACATTTGGGTGAATATTGAGTTCTAATGTTTGTTAACAATATTAGCCTCATAGATCCAGCGCTAAGCTAAAGAAGCAAAATCTGGACATCAAACATGTTTGGCTGACTCCATCTGTAGAGAGGATGAAATTGTATAAATTTGATTTCCTTCCAAATTATTCCCTTAATCCCTTAAGTTATGTTAGTTATCCTTTACATTGTTTACATTTTTTTACATTCATTCTGCTAAAAAGTTACCATTTCTGAGATATGTGGTTTCGTAACAGCAGTGAAGATGTAGAGGTTAGGAACAAAATAAATGCATTAAAAATAAAACTTCAGTTTTCTCAGTCAGAACTGTATTTATGAGCTGCCTAGTTAGCACTTTATACATTATCCTTGTGTGCATGTATATGTATTTATGTATGTATGTCGCTCTGTAGATACCTAGAAGACAAAATGTGTTTGTGAACATGTCTTTTTTTAGTCAGCTCCTCTGAGACTGTGTGTCTGTACACTGTTGTATGTGTTTGCATGTGTGTATGTGTGTGTTCCATCTTATTCCCCCACTGGGATCCTATACGCTCCCCATGTCCTGTTTTGTTATAAAGTAAACCACACAAGGAGACCTGAGCGTCCTTCAGACCTCCCCAGCTATATTTAACAACCATACGCCAAGTGTGGCATCTGTACTTACTCCTCAGGGCTTTGAACTCATATTCCCTGCACCCCTTCACGTGACAATTATTGGACGACTCATTAATATTGTAGAGTTTTTTTTTGGGTAGGGTGCCTTTTTGGTCCTGCTACTTTAATAAACTGGTCAAACACCCTTCCCCAGACGTCCTGAAGTGCCAAAGAACAGTGCTGTGTCAGGAAATAGCCTACATACTGCATTTACTGTGTAATTATACAGGGCAGAGGCTTCAAACTCAGTACCTGGAGGTCCAGTATGTACACAGCGTTTCACTGCTGTGACCTTCTATTAAACAGAAAACAAAAAGGTCTGTTTTAACTAAACTTGTACTTAATTTAACTTGTAAATACATCTCCAAAATGTTTTCTTAGAGCAATACTATAAAACAGGGGTGCACAGCTGTGGTCCTGGAGGCCCAGTGGCCAGCACAGTTTGGTGATTTACCTGCTCAAACACACCTGATTACACTCATCTGTTATTTGCCAAGTTTAGTGGGTGTGTTTGTGCAGGGGAACCACCAAACTGTGCTAGATACCAGCCCTCTAGGACTTGAGTTGTGCAGCCCTCCAATAGAAGAACCACATTTGGTTGCCTAAAGCAGTGGTTCTGAAAGCAGTCCTCAGGGACCCCCAAATAGTCAGCATTTTTTCCTCTAGCCCTTGTGCTGCAAATTTGGTTGAAGCAAACCTGAGAATCATCTGGAGGTCCCTGAGGGCTGGTTTGAGAACCACTGGCCTACAGAATCTTTCAGTGGATAACTCTGTAAAGAGATGCATGAGTGAAGTTGAAGAACCTAGATTAGATCTCCTCATAATGTTCTGTACCAGCTGAAGGTTGTCTTTTTCTAGAACTGAGCATCCAAAATCAAGAACCATTTAGGAACCTTTATTCCTAAGTGTGTACATACCCATTTACTTGAGCTTGGGAATCATATCTTAGAATAGAACCCCAACCTACGACCTACACCAAGCTATCTAGGCTTTCCCTTTATCCTTTAAACCCCCCCTTGTAAACCCTCCTTCCATCTTCGAGCTCCTCAGTCCAGTGACCCCCGGCAATCTGTTCTCTTGTAGCCGTTCCGCCGAGTGACCTTCTCGGTGGTGAGCCAGCCCCAGGACCCCCACCAGGGCTCGCTGCAGAGCTGCTACGACAGTGGCCTGGACGAGTCGGAGACGCCCAGCAGCAAGAGCTCCACAGGCCCCCGGCTGGGAGCCCTCCCCCTACCCGAGGATGCCTATGAGAGGACCACGCCGGATGGCAGTGTCGGTGAGGCAGAGCATATGGAAAATGGTAGGGGCAAACACAAAAAAGATAAGCTAAAGCCTAAAATTTAAGAAAGACAACAAAAAGCTCAGTCAGTCTTAGCTGATGAAAGGGATAGGGGATATCACCCAAAGTGGCCACACACACTCACACACAAGCACGTCGGCACCACCGTCTCAGCAGAGATTGAATTAAAGTGGATTAAAAGAGGGAGGCTAGGTCGCTGGGGTGATGTGCTAAACATTAGCCTTGGTAAGCTAGCTCAAGTACAACAGCGAAACTCATACACTAAGTGTATAAATACTGATATTCTCTAGGGCTTCATATATCCATGCTCGTGCCATTTGCCATGTTTATTTTGTCATGATTATTACCATATTTTTGGTTTGCAAGATAAAACTTGTCAGCTATCATACTAGCGTCCAAGCTAGCTGTGTTCTTTTTAGCCTGAAATCAAGTGAAGTGAGGTGAAGGCTTCTGTATGTTCTGAACATCTTAGCTTTTTCTTAGTGGGACTTGTTTGTTTATTTCGTCATGATTATCACCATATTTTGCTTGCAATGTAAAGCTTTTGCTAGTCTGGTCAGCTATCATCCCAGGTAGCAAGAGGATAGCAGGCCACTGTTGGCCCATCAATGTCAGTGCTGGCTACCCACTGGCTTTTTGCTCAGCATTTTGTGGGCGGCCCACTGGTGCTTAAACAGAGTGTTAGACATAAATTCCACTTTTTAATGCTCTTTTTTCACTTACAGTACAATTTATTTCTTTTTCTTTTATTTCTTTCTTTCATTATCCTTTGTAAATTAGGAAATAATTTTAATCTAGCACAGTATCAGCAACATTTTCAACCAACTCATTTTGTATTAGGCCTAGGCATTCATTTTTTTACTCTTAGTAGTTTGTAATATTTGTCTTAGTTTATTTTCCAAAATAAAAGACTAGATGCATTTAAAATCTGTTTGAGATTATTAAAAACTAGTTCGTCCTTGTATGCAGGACAATAATCTGGGTGGTCCAAGGGTGGACTAGCAAATCACATACAATCAGCAGGGTGCTGAACTTTTAAAGCCAGCAGACCAATATATACTTGCTATCTGGGATGCTAGCACCGATAAAACAGCAAGTTAGCTGTGTTAGATAGCATGAAATGAAGTCAAATGATTTTTTATTTAGGCTTCTGGATATCCTGACCATCTTACCCTTTCTTAGTGTGCGACTCCTTTCTTTATTTCGTCATGATTATCACCATATTTTGCTTGCAAGGTAAAGGGTTTGCTAGTCTGGTCAGCTATCGTCCATATAATGTCAAGCTTTCCATGTTAGATTAGGCTTCTGGATGTTCCGTACATCTTTCCCTTTCTCACTGTGACTCGTTTGCGTGTGGACTTGCACTTGAGAAATGGATTTCACATTCTGCTTATTTTAGTAAGACAAGTCAGGGTGCAAAAATAAAGACTAGCATGCCAAGCATAGCTGTCAGATTCCTCTAACCCAAACCTGCGCTCTTGATACTGACTTAGCTATCTTACTGCAGTGAGCAGTTTGTTTTTCTATAATCAGTGTTGTGCCGAAGCTCCTCAGACCCTAGTTTAGTTTAAAGTCTTTAAGAGAGATGAGATGTGGATGGAGGTTTGTAGGCTGTTAAGTGTTTCTTAGCACTAAAAGGAGAGGCCAATCTCTTACTGACTTTATGTGCTGGTCATTGATACCTCCTTTGCTGATGAGCTCCAGTTAGCTACTTTTTTAGAGGCCCCATCAATGAAGGCACTGTTTGCAGGTTGGTATGCGGCAAAGAATGCCAGACTCCTAGGACTATTCTGTTGCCATCTAATACTTTATCAGGAACAGGTTCTTTTTGTTTGAGCTCAGTCTACCCTTTCCTTTAGAAGGTGAACTCTATAGCTACTACAAAAAAAGAGCGTTACTATCTGCCTGTTCATCAAAATGCTTCATATTATAAGCAGAGAAGGGGCAAAGTGTCCCATTACCAAAAGCCAGGATGCACTAAGTCTTCATTGTCTTTTATGCTGAGGCCTAAGTGGCAATTGAGCTTCAAATCTCGTTACTTTACTGAGAATGACCCTTCGAGTCACAGTTTCGAAAATGGAGTTTTAGGGCAAAGGCTTCAACCTGAAGGCAGTCAGTGGCTCCCGGTGGCGAAGAGAAATCGGAGCTTGCTGCTGGTAGAAAGAGGAAAATGTGATTTTTAACCTTGCCATTTGGAGAACATTGGCCTAAATGTAGATTAAATAGGCTTGGCGGGGGAAAATTGCGTTAACCCACTCCCTGCGTAAGATTTGAGGCTTTATCCTCTGGGCAATTTAAAAGGCTCACAGTCAGACAATGCCAGGCCAAATTAGCAGCAATTACAGCCCGCCTTCAATTCAGGTTGGGTTTAAAGTAATTGGGCTGAGAAGGATCAATAGCGGGGAGGTAGATTAGATCAAAACTGTGATTTGGCCATCAATCAGAGCCCCTGTCGAAGAGAATTAGAGGGAAAAAAACATATTTAACTTACAATAGCAAAAAAAAAAGGATCTTGATGTAATTATTTTTCCAGATATGCTTCTCCTCTTCAGCTGATGAGTAATACATTTTACAAAAAACGAGCATTTCAACTACATTTTTATTGAAGAATTCTGACTAAAATTGATTTGCGAAAGGCACAAGACATTTATTAGGATGGTCAAGTTAATGAAGTATCTGACTTCATTCTCACTGCTAGATGATCCTGCCATTATAGAAGAAAAAAAATGATTGAGAATTTGTAATCTTCGTCAACCAGGCGTACCATCGGACTGCTGTATGATTCATAGTGTAGCTGTTGTTCTCAAACTGTTTGCTGAATATGCATTGTTTATAAACATATTGTGAAGAATTCTTCTCTCTTTCTTTCTTTCTTTCTTTCTTTTTCTTTCTTTCTTTCTTGTTCTCTGCTTTCTTTATATTCCTATAATTTTTCTCATTCTCTCTCTCCCCTTCTCTCTCTGTCTCTCTCCTTCTGTTTCACCCTATTCTAATTCTCCTGCTCTCTCTTTTCTATTTCTTCCTTTGTATAAGATTTCTCAAGGTCAGAGGCAGACAAACAGATGAATCACTTCCTAATAAATAAGAAAGGTTGCTCACCTTGCTACCCCCAATCTTTAGGAGAATCTGTGTGTGTGCGCGTGTGGTTGAGAGAGAGTGCAGCTGAGGACGTGGGGGGTAGAACAATTGCAGACAGTAAGAAAGCTAGGTGACCGTGTTCAGTTAAATTTAAAGTGGAAAAAACATGAGTACAATCGCTTATGCATTCAATGCAGTAAGAAGCAGAAGCTTGAATTTTTTAAAAGCTAGAACACAGCTGCACTCAGCACCGCATTATCAGCTCACACACACAACCAATTTTGAAAAAGGCCAGAAGAAGCCCAGGCCATATAGTCCATATATCAATCTTATCAGAGACCACTCACATTCCCCCAGGTGTATCTATGTTTACTTGCATCTGTGTGTGGTGTGTGTGAGGTGGGGGGTCTGTAATTGGTTTAGGTGTAGAGTGTGTTAGTTCCACTCCAAAAGGCTAGCAATGCTTGTGTTAAGTTTGTTTAGTGCTTTTAACACTATCCCTAAGGCTCTCTCTCTCTCTCTCTCTCTCTCTCTCTCTCTCTCCCTCTCTCTCTCACTCTCTCTCTCTTTCTCTCTCATGCACACACATTTTCACACTTTTCAGCGTGAGACCTCCTGATCCTATTAGCCTATGTGCTTGTTGAAAATCATATCTGTCTCAAGATGACATTGCCTCGCTAGTTCAATGTCTGTAAAGTGTTTTTTAGCCATTTTTTGCTGCATTCTGATGATTAAAATGATAGAAAAAGCCTTTACACTGAAGAAATGATGCATTGAATCTACTTTATTTGCTTTAATTATGCGTGCATCATTTCCACATGAGGGAAATATATTACATCTTTACAGTTTTGTCTTTATATATATATATATATGTGTATGTGTGTGTGTGATGTATTACTTTTTCTTACTGTAGGTTCTTATATAAGTGTATATAAGTAATGCATTAGATGCTCAGCTTTCAGTTTTACAGTTTCATGTGCCAAAAAAGACAATATTACCTAAAATTTGACTTCAGGATTCAGGAGTTCTGCATTTTCCACACTGTACACTATTGTATTCACTTGTTGAATGAAGTCAGACGATGTATCCTTTTTATGCCATGACTATCTTAAGGAGGATGTGTTTTAATAGCCAAATTAATCTATAGTCACTAAGCAGCTACAGAGGCATGCAATTACTTAGAGCTGCGTCAGAGTGCTGATAACCTGGAGTCAATTAAGATATGAAGAGAAGAAAAGAAGAACACAGTCACGCACACACGCCAGTTAGTAGATGGTTGAAATGCCATCACTTGAAAGGCAGACTCTGTAAACCTCTGTAATTGTGGTCATTATGTGTTTGAAAGATGTGTGTAATTGGGATCCTGGTGAGTTTGTACGTGTGTGTGAGTGGGGTTGGGGGTGTCTTGGCAAGTGTGTCAGGATTAAGGTCAGGGCACGAACTGGGCGTCTCTCTAATGAGGAAACCCTGCTGCGGATAGTACAGTGCTCTAACACACACACATACACACGCACACATACACACGCACACATACACACACACACAGCCACAAACTCTCTTGCTCAGAAACTTCCCTCAGCGTGGGATAACTTGAGGCCACTGGAGTTTTAGATTTGAATGGTGGGTTTGTGCATATTTGTGCAGGTCAGTTTGCTCTTTGTGTGTGTTTGTCTGAGACTCATGGGGAAAATCCTGCTTTCCGACTTGCTCAGTGTCAATCGATGATCGCCCAATCAATGTGTCAGCTCCACTCCTCTTTACTTCTCTCTCTTCACCTGAACTATCTCTCTCTCTCTCTCTCTCTTTCTCTCTCTCTAAGGTGAGCTCAGGCACTTGCTTTCGCTTTCTTCTCCTCTTTCAAGGTTACAATTTCAATTTTATTATCCTCTGACTCTGTAGACCTCTTTTTTTCACAGTGACCC